CAAAGCCCCTGTAGCCTCAATTGCTGAAACCACTAGTCACTAGACCTTACGACCTTACAAGCCCTACGCAAGCCTTACAAGCCCTCAGCGAGACCTTTGGTTCGCGAATATGGGGTCCGTTCTTAACGCTAGGAGCCCCTCGATGAGTCAGCAAGAATCCTGCTCAAGGGACAGGCAAAATCCCAATAAGCAGGGATCCTTCCTGGGCTGCACACCTCCGTCAAAGCCGCTGCGTCAGTGTCGGGTGTTAGGGACCTGACAAGGTGCAAGGCCCGCTGGAAGCATCGCTGGGTCTACGGCGTCTACGGATCCAAGGCCAATCCTGGGTACATAAAGATGTCTGGGAACAGGTAATGGGACACTCAATCTCCCATGTTACATTCAACTCAATCGACCCCACAGCCATTCGCGGCTACCCGAAGTCTGAACACAAACTTCCACTCAGCTGCCCCTAAACCCTAACCGCCTGCATGTAGTTCCACAACAAGCTGAACTGCAAAGCAGCGATCCCGCAGTAGATCATGAATACGTGCTTTGCATTAGGAACTAGTATGCATACAACGGTAAGATGCAATGAAGACAAGACAGCTGATTCATGCTGATTATGTACAGTACAAACCCCCTTCCTGAGGCTGAGAGTCCTGGCATAGCTGCGTAGCAGTGCGAGAAAACCGCCACTGCCCAGAAGGGGCCCTGAAGGTTCAATGACACATGCAGATGCTTCTACTGCTCGATCGACCCTGACATTGTGGCGGGCATATTGCGAAAAGCAGAGAGCCTATGTTTTGCACGAAGTCTTTCACAACTGATGCCCAGTTGAAAAGCTCTTGTGCACCGGAACTAACTTTCACATCAACAAACCGAGCGAAAATCGGAGAAATCACAGCCATCTCCGTCGTGTTTAAGCGAGTGAAGGACAGGTGCAGATGATGGAACAGCATCTGAGGCCGTGGCCACTTGTAGCGAGGGTAACTTCTGTGCAAGCTCGTCATGAGAACCTGCTTTCACCGGGCCATCTTTCATGCATCCAAACTCGCAAGATCATACTCAGATGCTTCAGCCTGTCAGCCATTTCGCCGTTGCTTTTAAAACCGCCCGGCCCTTCCAGAAAAGAACGTGGCAATGTCTGGCTGAAGCACCTTCCCTCTGTTTGTTGTATCTTTCCGCGGCAGCATCTTCCAAATGCAAGGTTAAGTTCAGGTAAATGATGTGCTCTTGGCAACTGCAGCCGTGTCACATGGATAATTAAGAATCGTTGCAGCTTGACCAGCAACGCTGGATGTCATAATGTACGGACGCAGTCCCTCGCATTCCCGATACACAGCGCAACTGGCAGATTCCTTCTTGGGTCCTACGCGATCTCGGCAGTTACTGCAAAAACCTACACCACAAAGACCCCAAGCGCAGGCACAACCCTGAACCCCTGCTGTATCTGTGTGCCTGCGAAGGTGCCGAGCCAAAAGTCGCGGCCATGTTTTCCGCAGAACCCTGGGTGCTGCGTCTTGGTTGAAAGGAGGAGCTTACATCGGGATTACCGCTATAGACCTAGAAGCTGGCGAGGGAACGACAAGGGCTGAGGACGATGGAAAGTCCGGAGGCTTAGATCCCCAAATCCAGAGTCCTAAACGCATCGGACTTCGACGTAGAATCCATAGACTAAGCGTTGGGTCTATGCTTTCAATCATAAAGATGTTCTATAGGTGGAAGAGCATCATAACTGAAGGGTTAAGGGGTTTACGTGGGCAATGGCTGCGGCTCAGAGGTTTGAGGAGTAGCATTGAAGATTTAGGCTGCCCTCCCCATGATCCATCTCACTCCTCCTGCACGCAACCGCGCTCCGACGTTGAATTCAGCCTGGAATGCCACAGAGCATGAGCTCGGGCACTGCTCGTCAAGAACGGTCCGCAATGATCCTGTCACCAGGACGTCGGCGGCGTTCCATTTCCGATGTTGCCGCTTCCCAAATCTGTAGAGCGGCGACACACGGTCCTATCTGCCACAGCATTGATTTGGGTCTGTGCAGACATCATTTTCATCTCTGGGATCTTGTACAAGCTCGTCAGGATCCAGTAAGAATGCGACTGATCCTGCGATGGCTGTTGTGCCTGTCGCATGCCCTCAACGTATTTAGGGACCAAACCCAGCACCTAAGCAACACAATGAAGTTGGGATGTTCCAATCTCCGCGGTTTAAGTAAGCCCATGAAGCAGGGATATCCCACCAAACCTAAACCCTAAACCCTGAACCCCTAAACCCGAAAACCTGCTTAGATGGCTTCATTGCCTCAGTGGCACGGGCTGCCGAATACCCTGCAAAACTCCAGGCCTTAAGCTTGCTCCTGTAATCTAGGGTACTTCAGAATTAGAATACGTTTTAGGTGTGTGTATATATATATATATAGAGTACTATAGTTTCAACACCATCCCCAAAATAGGTATTGATCATTACTTCGGCCCCTTTTTTGTGTATGTGTTGTAGTTTGAGCTTCGCTGTAGCCATCCTGGTTCAAGCCACACAGCAAGCCCGAGCCTGAACACCAGGTTCTGAAAAAAACCCGGGCCTTAAGAATCCAGGGTTTAGAGGCATAGGCGGTTTATAGTGATTGAAGTGTTTAGACTTTACGGTCTCTAAACCCTAAACCCAGAGGGGCTTGGTGCTCGCGGGGCTAGACCTCCAACTCCAAAATTCTACCTGGCAGCCTCTGCACTCACCTCCCAGCCCCTGCAACGAAGCTATGCTGGGGATTGAGGCCACGGATTGAAAACTCTTATGTCTACGCAGATGTATTCGATAGTCTTGAGGCTGCATAGTGAACATAATTGGAGTCCTATTGATGGGTACATGAGCCCTTGAGATCCCACGAGAATATCAGGCAAGCTGCTCATGTGGCACCTCGCCAGCTTGGGAACCCTGCACCAGGTTGAGTTTAGGGTTTAGGGTTCAGGGGGGGCTTCGCGAAGACGGTTCTCCTGATAGGATGCCAAGCTAGATTTCGAGCATGCCTCTTTATGGCTCGGGTCATGATCATGGCTCGGACTTATCAGCGAACCCCTATGAAATCTAGAGGGTATTATACGTGTTCTACAGGTTCCTGCTCTTCTGTTACTATCAGGGCTCTGTTAGAGCTACTGCAAGCGGTAACCTCACAGGTTGCAGCAAGTTGTAGGCATGCCTCCTACATCCTTCATCCCAAAAAAGGAGGGCCAGCTTGCACGGAAGGCAAACGCGACTGGCTTCAGCAAGTTGCTTCGCTGCAAACCCCTAACCCCCCAGGTACCTACTATATAGGGCCTTAGGGGCTCTAGTACCCTATATAGTAGGTATCTGGGCAGTCAGGGTTAAATTGGCCCGACCATGAGACCCGAAGGGCCAGGAGCATGGGGCCGAACAAGGGCGGTGGTCCGTGCTGCACATGCCGGCTTATCCATGTACGTGATTTCGAAGTGAGATAGATGGAACAGCTCTAAACCCTAAGCCCTAAACCCCGAAACCCTAGACCGACTAGACATAGGGGACCCTAATATAGTACCCTAAATGGTAGGATCCTTATCAGAAGGACCCCAAAATAAGGTACCCCCCATAAACTAACCTCGAAGCTGACACTGCGAAATCTTCAGCCGGAAGTTGGGTGTCTGGCGAGCCCGCGTCGATATAGTGGAGGGTGATCTCCTCTTGAGTGCCTTGCATCGTTCTTACACTGCCATTCGAAAAGGACAGGGCCAGAGTTTAGGCTCAGGTTTAGGGGATACTTCTGTAGGAGAGTTTGGAGGTTGGTGAAACTCCCCGAGGGTTTGCGGTTCCAGGGAGCGCTTCGCTTGGCTTCTCGCACGTTCTGGCGGATGGCGATGCACCCTGAGTCAGAAGCGACGGGAAAACTACCTACCTCAAACACTGAGCCATGAGAAACTCAGACCACCTGCAAGCTGCCGAACCCGATCCGAAACACTCAACCAGAAGCCACAATCACGGCAACGGCAACAATTGCAAAAGGAGAAGTGTCAGTGTTCATTTTGCACTCCAAGATAGCTACTTAAACCATATTGCCGGTAAAGTGCTGGAAACCTTTACTCCAAAGCTAATTAGCGCGAGAAGGCTCGCCATTCGCGCCTTCTGCATTGCTCATGACTCCCGGCCAGCAGGCAGCCGAAGCACCATTGGAAACGCAAAGACTGCCAAATCCCTGAATTCCGGAAGCATTCTTGAGCTACCATAGGATTCTTTGAGGCGGGATGCTTCATGAAGCAATCTTGCACTGTGCATCGCGGAGATTGAGATGCTTTGGGCAGGGCTGATGCCTGGGTTTCGTTTTCCTAGGATCTGTCGCGCGCGCGACCGCGCACGTGCTACGCACATTTCGCTTCAGCTGTCATGTGCATCACTTGCATGTCTAGGACTTCTTGATGCAAAACGTCGTTGGTCAAAGAAAAGTGCCCATCATGCACTTAGAAGTGCAGCTTGAGCGCGCCGACTTGTAAAGAATCTCATTGCTTCGTATGATGATGTTGACTTGCCAGTCCACCTGAGGGATAGTTGTCCTCCCCTTTGAGTCGGTACTGCTTCCGTGATTATCCGTGTTGGCCCGCAGTGCCATCGCAGCAGTACAGGTCTGAAGCAAGTAGCACAAGAATAGCTGGCCGCAGTATACTACTTCAAAAAATGGTGCAAATGAAGGACATCATCGTTACAACCAACTTCTTCATCGTCATCACCATCGCTGGTATTACTGTCATCGATGTCACCACCTTAATCTTGATCTTTGTCATGAACATCATGATCGGCACCACCGCTGGGCCACACCCGCCACCACCCCCACCAGCACCACCAGCACCAGGACTAGCACCAGCAACCGCCGTGCTGGTTTGCCACCGGACACCAGCCAATCCCTAAATCACTATACCCTGCTTCGCCGTCGGAGGACGTAACTACAGTTGCTACCCAGCGTTGCGAGCGCACTGCTATTGAGCAGCCGCAGGCATGTGGCACAGGTCTGGAAATGGTGCCTCCCACTCCGGAGGCAGCTCCCACTGCTGCGTCGCCATATTGAAGCGATACCTCGTATAGTCTCCGACACAGCCACAACTCTGGAAATCAGTTCCCGGATTCTCTAAGCCTCTTGTGGTATCGATTTCCCTGTTTGCCTGTCAAGCGTCAGGCCATCCCGGTGAGTACTGATCTCGTCCAGAACACGTGTGCATGAAAGCCCCGATGTTATCGTAGAAGACGTGCACATGAAGGTGAGCGCAGCAACAGACCAACGACTTGCAAGCAGCAAAACTTCCCAGAACCGGGTCGCAGTGTCTTCGACAATGGGTGTATGCTAAATCCTGACTCCAAGGTCGTAGATCCACAGCCTCGACACTGGTATATATAACCCCAAGCCGAAACCCTCTCCTTAACCACCCAACCCCCCAAACCCTAAAACCCAGACTCTAAGCCCAACATGCCAAAACTCCTCGACCCTGAACTCTGAGCCCTAAAACCCTGAACCAAAACCCTAAACTCTCAGCTCTGAACCCCCCACACAGCCCCCATAAAAATAGAAAATAAAAACCCTAAAACGCCGAGGCGGGAAGAAGGGCACTGGTTTGGCATCCCCAGGTCGGCGCGAATAGGGAAGAGCCTCGCCACCCGGACCATGGATCTTCAGCGGCTAAGGGGTTTTTTGGGTTTGGGGATTGGGGGGGGGGGNNNAGGGTTTAGGGTTTGTTTGGGGGTTTAGGGCTTTTTGTTTGGATTTGTTTCTTTTGAGACCTCTTTTCCGTCCGCCATGTTACCGTTAGTCGGGGTTCAGGGTTTAGCCCTGCTGTAATTAATGACCCCTACGGTCCTACCGTAGCTGCCTGTTCCAGTTTCATGTCCTGCACTCGTTTACCATTTTACCTTTTCGTTCAACGTCTAGTTCACTCATCATGTGACTTTCCCTTTGTTCTGTGTGTGCTTTGTTCTTCTTGGTTCGTTTGTAGTTCAATTAAACGAGGCACGAAGCGATGCAAGAGACCAGAGGACACACAACGAAAAAGGGTGTGGTTTGTTCAATTGTGTCCGTTGTTCTAGTTGAACTTGCTGCTGTGCGGTGCTTTTTCCTTCTTGCGCTTGTGTTCAATTAGGTGCAAGTAAAAGAGATCAAGCATGCTCTTGTAATGGGTTGTTCTTCTTCGCTTTTGTTCTCATGACGTCGAATTATACCTCAGGAAGGGAAGCAAGAATTGAATGTAATGGAACGAAGACAGCAAAGTGAACAAACGAGGGTGTGTCAGGAACGTCGTGTGGTTCTTTATTCAAACTAAAGTTAGCGTAGTGCTGGAAAGTGAAGCACGGCATATTAGAATTCAACAATCACACAACAACTCCACACACCTAGGAAATGAAGCGAACGGTTTAGGGTTTAGGGTTTAGGGCCCCCAACCCTAAACCCTAAACCCACCCTAAACCCTAAACCCTAAAAGCAACAACTAAGACGAACGAACGAAGCGTGCGGTGTGTCAGGAAACCGTCGCGTGAAGATCTGGGAGCTCAAGACTTCGGCAGAGACCTTAGGGCCTTAAGCCTTGAGCTCCTGGGCTCGACTTCAGGACATGAATATAATCACCAATACTATTTTTTGGGGTGGGGTTCCTTATTATGAATATGGTATAGAGCAATACTATTTTTTGGGGTGGTCCTTATTATAATTATGGTATAAAGGGCCCAGAAACCTACTATAATTACCAATAATATTTTGGGGTTCCTTATTGTAAATATGGTATAAAGGGCCCCAAGACCCTATCCTAATTATTAAGAATGCTTCGAGCTGGGAGTCTTCGGAGTTAGGGTCCATGGGACTTTGGATCCATGCCCCAGACATCCCCCTATACTATATATATATATATACACACACTATATATAGTATATACAGTATATATAGTATATATATATATGTATACTATATATATATATATATACTATCCCCACAGCCGCCAAAAACCCAAGAAAGTTTCCCCATGGCTCTCTTGAGCACCCGTCCTCCGGCGCAGGCGGGAAAAAAGGCCATCTTCCCCCGACTCCCTGGTGCGACGTGCTTCGGATGTGGACTTCGGGCTTGGGATCTTGTGAAGAGCTTGCTGAAGGTTGTTTTTGTGTGTGTGTGACTTGTTTTAAATGGGGGGCTTATAGAGCTCCACAAGCTATCAGAGTTCTATGTGGGTTCATGGAGTCATAGACTTCCACAAGCTTTAAGAGTTCTATATGGGTTCATAGAGTTCCAGAAGCTATAAGAGTTCTAGATGGGTTCTAGAGGGCTTGAGTCTTTACCAGGGGGTCATTAGCCGGTTTCGGGCTTCGGGGCTCTATGGTTTGGATCGGGCGGGCTTGGTAATATAGGGGCCTTAATAATTGGAATAGGCTTTTGGGGGGGTTCCTTATGATCCTGAAAGTATAAGATACCCTCAGACCCTAATCTCATTCCTAAGGCCCCTATATTACTTAGGGCTTCGGGAACTTAAGGTTTTTAGTGTCAGGATCGTGGGCGGCAGTGGTAAGACTGAGCGCAAAAAATGGCCGTGGTCTGTGTAAGATGACTGTCAGAAACAAGCTATGCTCTACTATATCCCAGGAGGGCTCATAATAATGAATACGATGGCCACGGGACTTGCAATCAAACCCAAATCCATCGGCTGACGGCCAAGTTGTCCCAAAAAAGCTTTGGGCCCGGGGCCCAAGGTCTCGAATGTGCAGCTCACCGTGATTTTTAGAGTGTGGGCCTCTGCTGCCACTGCTGTCGGGAACGGCTGCGTGATGAAAATGACGGAGAGTTGTCCTAAGCTGCGACTGACAGTTTGAGATGCCACAATCCAAACTAAAACCACGACAAAGCCGGAATGAGATTGCGCAAACTAGTGTTGGATATCAGTCCCAGAACGCATCCCACCAGTGAAGAGCCACAAAAATGCCTCGGACACTTGGCAAGCTGTGCCCCTTCAGACTTCTCAAACCCCTGCTGGAAAGGCAAGTCTCGGCATAGTACTGCTGTGGCTGGGCTCACATTTAAATATAGTATATTAGACGATCCATACTATACTATCATATACTAGATTCTAATATACGTATACTGCATATATAATTTCGTATCATGCTATATTATACCGTATTCTATCATTACATTATCAATGCTTCGGGCTTTTCCGACCATGGATTGGGGGTCTAATTCAAATTCTGACTTTTCCGGCCCCTTCCTTTGCTTCATTGATGACTCAGCAGAGCCTCCCCCAAGTGTCCAAGTACCTAATAGTCCTATACTCTCCCAAATAGTAACCTACATAACTACTATCCGAAACCTAAGTACCTGATTATTGTGTCCTTTGGACCCTTGAGCTTCCAGCACGATTAGAGGTGTGCGCGAACTCTCCTTGGGGTGTAGGGTTTATCTCACTTTCCCACTCAAACTTTCGGTTCTTAACCTCCTGTAGACTCTTGCAATACATCTAGGAACGCTGGACCCAGATCCGGCCCACAGAGAGCTGTGAACTGCCCCAAGCCTAGTTCAAAGCTAAGAACTACCATAAGGGTGCGTGTACTCATATCGCATATACATGGGCCCTAAAGTACTTAGATAGGGACTACATTAAGGCCCATGTATATATTTATATGAGTACATGGACCCTTAGGGCTAGTCATCTCAGATCTCGATGCCTCCTCCTCAGAGCCACTGGTGTCCGCCTCTCACGCAAGACAAGCGAAACAAAAACAACTTCAAGATCCACCAATGGTTCGAGATGAATGAGCTTTTAGGCATGTGCGACAGTTACCTCAGCATGCGATGAAGTGACGCGGGCATTCATAAGCCCAGGCTTCACATCTCAACACATTCGGGCAGTTTTGCAGAGCTCTTTTTGGCCTGAGGCTGCACTTGAGAGAGGATGTGGTTTGTGGGATTTCGGTCTCTGCCAGCTATGCCGTGAAGTGAGATTTGGAAGCACCGGCATGTGAGACAAACAAGAACAGGATTAAGGCTTCCAGAAGTGCGCTAACCAAAATTGAGCTGAGTGCATGCTCATCCTTACACGGCAAGATTTAATTGAGGGAAGAGCTCACTGCTGCAAGGACTGCAAGGGAGCTGAAAAGCTGCGCGCAGCCTGCTTACAGAAGCAGAACCTGTACAACACCCTGATTGCAGGGAACAGAACTGAAAGCCGAACATGGTGCATGCTGTACTGGCTCTCGAGACCAACGTAGATCTCTTAAATCAAAGTGAAACAGGATTGATGAGGTCAGTCGGCCTGCTAGGGCCTCACCTCTGCTTCAAGGAGAAACCGTCCTTCTGCAGCTTCATGATGGCGACAGCCTGCAGCTCTCAATGCCCTCGCTGTCCTTTCAAAACACTCTCTGCACTTGGGGCCAAGGAGCCGCCACAGAGACAACGGGCATGAGGCACACCGCCGGGTGGTCCAGCAGGGTGCGTGCTCGGCCCGCCTTCTTACCCTGGGCTCTGTCCCGGTAGGTCGCCTGCTGCAGTTAAACTGTTGCTACTACGGGGCCGTAGCCTATGATTATGAGGTATATGTACTTCACCACTGTTGCTACACTAATGATGTTCTTAGTCCCGTGACCTATGATCATGAACTTTACTATGACTAGCTACTGTCGTTCATGATTATTGGAATGCTTGGTGAGCCCAGGGTTTTGTGAAGCGGGCCTGCGATGGTAGGATCTCCAAGGCACGGCCCACTTTTCGCGTGCCGAAGACGCAGTCCCAAAGCCCGCCGATGGAGCTGAAGGTGTAATTGCCTTAAGTATAAGGGGCTAGGGTTAATGATGCATGTGCGTGTTCTAAATCCGAGACGGGAACATGCTTCACTGCTGGCGAGTAGCATCCCTTGTGGCCTTCGTGATGCCAATCGTGGTGGTGTGGCATCTGCGCAAAGGGGAAATACCTGCCAACAGCACATGGGCCTCAAACGTCGCAAGTCTGCCCCGGATTGTAAAGCTTTGTAGTGCAAGACAACCAGCAAAGCAGCGAGCTTCCTAACGGCCAGCAACCGGTGTGTTCTGCCAAATGTTTGTCGATGCCAACAACAGAAAGCGCACTGCAACCGTCACTAGCGAACGGAGCAAGGCCTCTGCAACTGGTGGGCCAGATTGAATCCGCAGCTCACGCCAGAGTGCTTCTCCTAAGACGCTGTGATCGTGGGAGGGATTGCGAGAGGCTTCGTTGCTTTATGCAAGAAGATCTTCTCCGGACAAGATGTACGGCTGGAGCTTGGACACGGGAGAACTTCATTCGTAGTGTAGAGTCCAGTGTAGAGTCAAGGGCCAAGGGCAGGCAGACAAACATGTGACACCGCACCGCAGCCAGAGCTTGTAACGGCGCATTCGAGACAGACCCCAAATCACAACAAAGCTTTACCGTCAGGCTCTACACTCTCCAACGGCCCTCACCTTATGCCCTGAAGCCTAAATCTTGAAATCCTAAAAGGCCTGGGAGATTCTGCGAAGATCCACAATTGGGATTCGAGTCATGGTGATCCCAAGAGAGCTAACAAACAGCTCTGACACCAAATCCCTTTCTTCCTTAGCTACAGCCGAGGTGTCCAAACTCTCGAAGATGCGGAAGATGTGCGAGAACCAGAAGGTCCCGTGGTCCAGGGGGAGGAGGGCCTCATCAAATCGCTGAGACTGGAAGGGTCCAAGAAGATGTGATTGGAGGTTCCAAAGGATCAGAGGATCATTGCAGTAGACATCGTGTGAATAGTAGTCTTGCAACTAGCAGAAGTTTAATTAGGTTCTGTTTGTGTAGTCATGGACTACACAACTGCATCTTGGCACATGGCAAAACACGACTTGCGGGGAGTGATTGCGGTAAGCCCAAAGGCCTGCGCGCAAAAGTGCCCCACCACGGCATTGCCGAGGTTGTCCAGCCAGTGGTCGTCGTAGGTGTTGCGGGACAAAGGGTGCTTGGCCCAGTGGTGGTAAGAGTGGATCTTCTCCCAGAGGAACGGAACCACATGAAGAGCTCGATGCATCCAGTACATGCCGAAGGACATGAGGTAGTGGTTGGCCACCAGTCGAAGCACTCGGTCATGAAGGGGTGCCACGACGTCGGCCGGTGCTGGGTAGTAGCCGGGGATTGCGAAGTAGAGACCCACATTGAAAGCGAACTGACTGAGCAGGGTTAGACGATCATGAAAAATAATGGTCTGCAGCTGCTCCATGTCCCTTCCACACAGGTCCTTCTTCTCCTTCAGCGCATGTTCCTTCGGAGGCTGCGTGCGGAAGCTGGGGAAGCTAAAGAACACAGCCTCCAAGTAGGTGTTGTAAAGACGCGTCACAGCAGCCTTCGTGCAAAGGAAGGCAGCCAGCTCTTTCAGAGTCCAAGAGCCCTGGACATTCACCTTCTCACCGGGTAGCAGGCAAGCTGCAGCCACTAGCGACCCTAAACTGCCAAGTTCCAGCAAGGTGAGGGACCAGTCGCCACTCCTGACTTGTCCGGCTTCTATAGGGAAATAAAGGTTTCTTTATGGGACCTATGTAAGCACGTAGAAAGGAAATCGACGACAAACTTCGGCACTGCTGAGATTCAGCAACAAAGAAGAGAAGTGGTGGCGAAAGCTCAGCTTCTCGGATGGGTACTCCAAGGTGTACACCATCTCCTTGGAGGAGTCGGCCCGGTCTACTGTTACTCTGGTTTGGGTGCAGCTTAGTGCCTGAATTAAGGAGTTAACCGGGTCGTCTGTCTTCGCTACGCACAGCCCAGCGATGATCAACATTACAGACTTTAGCTGAGGTCCTTGGACTGGCCGGACATGATGCCCAGGGTCACAGAAATCGCGGAGGCGATGTGAAGATGCACTATGCACGCGCGCTTCGAGCCAAGCACGGCCAGAATGACGGAAGTGACATGCGAGCTGTCAAGTCAAGCCACAAGTTTAAGAAATCAGTCGCCTAGTCAGCTTGATTTAGCTGCATGGCCGCATGCTGACAGATATTCAGCGGACTTTCCTTGATGCGTTACAGAATACCCTGCCACGCGAGGAGTAGGTTCTTCTCAGCATGCTGTCTGCATGATGCCCACATGACCATACAGTTTCTGCGGTAGACAAGCAATATACATATACAGATATAGATATAGATAATCCATCTCTGTCTATGTCAACGAAATATTATATATATATATACATGCACATAAAATTTATATATATATATATAGATATGCATACACATGTACACATACACCCTCTGCCAACTTCATCGAACACAGGCCTCGGGCATCCCCGGGCTGCTGTACCTCTGCAGGACTCTGGATGTCACGACTGGTGCAAAACGTGAGGCACACCTATAGTCTCCATTGTAGTTCCTTTTTGGGTTTAGGGTTTAGGGTTTAGGGTTTAGGGTTTAGGGTATACTACCTATAGTCTCCATTGTAGTTCCTTTTTGGGTTTAGGGTTTAGGGTTTAGGGTCTACCTATAGTCTCCATTGTAGTTCCTTTTTGGGGTTCCCTTATAGGATCCTAAATATAAGATTGGTTTAGCCAAAAAAAGGAACTACAATGGAGACTATAGGCACCAGACAATTAGGATTTTAGTTCAACAGGCTGTATGGGGTCTAGCATGCAGACCACTTCAAACATGCCTCAGCACCCAGGACCAGCTGCACATGGCCAGCGTTCCTAGAAACTAGTGGCTAGCGCGGCGAAGCATCTAGCCCCTGGCGCGGTTCGGCGTTGTTTCGCTGGCAGCGTGCTGCTACAGTTTCAGACTACCTCGCTTCCAGAGACCACCTGGTGTGTATGGTCTACAGCGTCAAGAAATGCAGCCTCCAAGCAATGCCCGCACAGAGCTAAGTTCCACGGCTTTTAGGTTGCCAGCCATGCTTTTGCTGGACGTCTCACGGCCTTTGGAAAAAAACAAGAGGATTTCGACCAAAGCAGTCATAACGCTGGAGATCCTGCAGTGGTAGAAACTGCCAAGGCCCAGCTAGAATGCTACTGACCCATGTGTTCTGCAACATTCAGGTTCCAGGATGCGCTGGCTGTCGGGACCCCACGTTGCATGAGAGCCCATGCCGTCGCGATGCTGATCCCCGATACATCATCCAGAACCCTCCAGCCATAACTGTCCATGCTGGTGGAAGCACCTGCTCGGGTACTCGACAAAGCTCCCTGCGCCAGCCTGCTCAACAAGCTTTTTGTTGGGAGGCTCTAGCTGCAACTAACACGAAGACAGGAAAAAAGGGCCCGGAGCTTCACTTCGACCTTCTACAACCCTTGTCATATCTACGATTGCGGTTGCTAGAGTGATCACTCTGTAATTGATACGATCACAGTGGTTCGTACTCCTATTGCTGTCACTGTTGCCCGGCTACACTGCTACTGCTGTCTTCATTCCAGGTTGGTCTTGTTCTGGTGCTACTTCCTATTATCGACACTGCTGCAGCGAATTGCTCGTGCTACTGTTGTTGGAGGTACGGCCAGTCTGACCGCTTCGACGACGTGATGCGACCTGCACTTGCACAACGTATCTGGGGGCCCACAAGCCCCTTGTGGAACACCCAGCTACACGCAAATCATAAGCTTTGGCCCTCAACTGACCTCAACCGCAACGCGGTGTTTCCCAAAACATAACAGACTCTAACACCTTTACAGCCCGCTAGCCTCACTGCTAAAGATACAGGCCCAGCAGCAAATCCAAAGCCAAACGAAACCCAAGCCTGATTAAAGGCGTTGCAAAACCTGACCCCCCAAATCTGAAAGCCTACATTATAGGCATACATGATAAGATGCATAATAACATTAATCTGGTAACAAAAGTTACCGATTAAAAACATGATTGACGCCACTGTCCTTCTCAACAGTCTTCCATCTTTTACAAACGCTGTTTCCGCTTTATATATACATACCTATCAAAGAGGAGCACACATCTCATTCTTATCATACTAATTTATTGTAGCTACTATGGAACAGGAACCCCACGGAACTGTTCAACGACCTCCTGGTAGGGAAGATCCCAGGGCGCCCTGAGCGGCATCCCGTAGTCTTCTTTCCATTCAGAAATCTGGGGAAAGTAGAACCTAAAGGGTGTAGGGCACCGTTTGTGGTTCATTGCTTTTGCCGTAGGGTTTTATAAGGCGTTCCGGGTTTGTAGGGTTTCAAGGGTGTCAGCAGAAGCAGTCGGAGCCACGTGCTGTGCAACTCCAAATATCTAATCAGGCGTAGTTGCTGCTCACTTCACCTGTGACAGGAGTAGCAGCATACACGTTCACAAAGCAAGACCAGTTAAACTTTGACGACAATCGCAAACATGACTAGTTTCACAGCTCCTCACATGCATGACGGTCACTCTGCACCACCCCGAAGTCCAAACAAAATAGACACTGCACCGGTCTAGGAAAGAAGTCATCTTGAGAATTCCTCCCGAGGAGCGATGATCCACCCTGCAACGTCTTTGAAATACGAAGAAATCACGAGACACCAGATGCAGGCTCAGTTGGATTGAGCTTCAGATCCCAAACGAGTTGATCGCAGATGGATTGACATCAACTTGGTGAGACGGTGCTCCTGCAGGTGCAAGGTATTTGGCACCTCCGGTAACAACTGCATAACACCAGTGACACGAGAACAAACATTGATTACAACCCGTGACCCAAACGGCGGCGGCTTCAAACATCTTTAAGCGCATTCCCGGTCGTGGATACGTGCAATGGGGCCAAGGCTCCTGGAATCCGGATCTGCAGTGGCGTGGACTCAAAACCAACCACTCCTCTAACCTCTGAGCCTCAACCACTCCATGAGCTGCTGGCGCCGCATCACTGTTCTGCACGATCTCCCCGGGGAAATGCTGCATGCTGCAATTCGGGTTCCATGCCTGCACAGGCACTACGAGGATCATTATCAAACAACTGTTCGACGAACAGATAAGCGAAGTTCTGCGCTTCTGAAATGACGTGGTAACGACAACTTCCACAAGCTCCACCTAGCTACAAGTAGCTTTCGTGAGATTTGGAACTACTTCCTTGCCTGGCTTACGGCAAGTGCAATACGCGCACTCCTTGAATAGCTGCTAGTCAGCACATGAACAAAGCCAACTGCACCTGATCTGTCGTGACAGCATCATCCATTAAATCATTAAGCCCAAGGGTCCAAGTACCTAATAATCATATACTCTCCCAAATAGTAACCTACATAACTACTATCCGAAACCTAAGTATCTGATTATTGGGTCCTTTGGACCTTGGGGTAAGTTGTGTGTTGCAACTGTGGAACAGCCCGGCCTCGGCAGAATCATAATTATACCAGCCTCGACCCCAAACAGCAATTGAGAAGTACCGATTCCGATACCAGACGGGCGTTAGAGCATCCAGAATGTGGGAGA